TTAGGATTAGGGTTAGGGTTTTTGCATCATGATATCTATCCCCACACCATAGATTAATTTTTGTGGATCACAATGCCTATATATAGCGCGGCGACACATATATATTTTTAATGTGATTGTTGGTGTTGGCGGTGTTGGAGTGAAGGTTACCGTTTTCAACGTCATCGTCAACGTTATCACGTGACCTCCCTCCACGCCCGTGGGATAGCAACACCCAGAGTTTTGCTTAGACGGCAATGCAATATGGTGGCGAGGTCGTCACAATTTTGAGGGCACGAGAGCACCTTAACTTTTCAATAATAATCCGTTCATAATAATAATAAGAAGGAGAAGACGAAGAAGAAGAAGAACCTTTTTATTTAATAAGTAATCTTTTCTCAAGTAGTAACGTCTAGCTCGAGTAGTATAGATTCTTTTGTTTTTATTCATTCTTGATATAATAATATCAAGAGACCATGATAGAAAATTTCTATTATGGCCTCTTGATAATATGGAAGTTGTTCTGTCATTTATACGAGTTTAGTAGATAAAGGTGATTGTTAGTTTGCTGTGGTTGTCAGCACTCTGATTCTGTTGCTAAGTTGAACCTACGTTACAAACGTCCACTTATTCGTTCTACTTGTATATCTTATCACGGGTAAATAGAAACAAACTTGTTTGTATAAACTCTTGTTTTTATATAATGTATATTATCAGGAGTGAATAATAATCTATTATTGTTTACTCCTGGTATTATTACATCGCATACGCTATTAGATATCTAAATAGCATGTAATCCAAATGCCTTGGGTTTAGCCGCTTTCATTCTATATGGGTAAATTACCATTAAAATACATCTCAAATAACGATATTAACTTTATTTTGTTATTATAATTAACTGTACAAGCACGACAGTGTAACGACACGACACGAATTATCTTTCTGTCATTTTGTTATCATTTTGCTAATATATAATTAGTGACAACGTGAACATTCGATCGTATGACAATATTCTGATATTTTGATGACCTTATAAGGTTATTGCAGTACAGTTATACCCTATACTTTACGACAGCATGTGTGGCCTAAATATGGCCATATATAATTGGTAAGTTTTTAGGTCGTGATACTACAATTCGTCCATACATGATTTTGATTGCTAAACTCGGGATACGAAATGCAAATTCGCTCCTACGTAATTATTCCAAATGACGATTCTCGACTGATTTGCTATTGTTGCGTTTAAATACATAACCTGCATGCAGGAGAAGCAGTCCAAGCTAAAGGTATATTGGTAAATTAAATTGATTGCACGATTTAATTATTTGCATTTATTATGCATATTTTATCAAAATTAGCTGTTACCTGTTTCTCTCCCAAAAGCTATTTAAGCGTATAATTTTAACAATATAACGAAGCCTTTAACAGATATTAGGTATGTGTTAGCAGAAACCTAACCTTGTGTCGTATGGATGTGCCTCTAGGGAAGTAGGAGAGGAGAGCGCACCATAGAAATATTATTATAGAGACACTAGTAAATGTAGAGTCTAGCTAGTATAATATTATTATTTCTATGGTGGGAACTTGTAATTTGCCTTGTTCCGGATAAAATCGCAGTTTTCGGGGATCAAAACACTATATATACTACATTAATTAAGCGATGGGTGACATCATAGCATAATATCACCAACGTGACTCCGCTACGAGTGACACAATGAGAGATCTATACATAGATAGAACATAGTAGGTAATCTTCCGCTGTAACACATCGTTGACACGCGGCATCGTTACAGCTAAAACTATCACCAACGTCAAGCTTTTTCATGATTTATGACGAATAAAACTACATCACAATTTAAGTTATTTATCTTCAGAATACGGCACCTGTTCCTTTTTGTTGCCTCAGGAAAACATTACCAACAAAACCCGCGACGTTCCGCTACGGGTGATACAATGAGAGATCTATACATAGATCAAACATAATAGGTAACCTCCCGCTACAATGCATCGTTGACACGCCGCATCGTTACAGGTATGTTGTTGTTGATGTTGTTGTTGTTGTCATCAGCGAGGGTTGCGCGCGCCCGTGTAATGGCCAGTGCAGTAACGCACGCATCAGCTAAACAATGCTGACCGTCGCGTTTGATTAACGGTCCAGCACAACCGCAGTGTCATGTCCAGCCGACAGAGGTCGCGCACGGTGTGGCGGCTGCCGTCCGCTCGTCTGAATGTAAAGTACCGACTTCGGCCGACACGTGTATAGAGCCGTGCCGCGACGACGCGACGTAACTCGTGGCGACTGCCGTCGCTGGCGATGACCCGTCATTCCGTGTCGGGACGCCACGCTATAAACGACACGCCCTCCGCGACGGCAGTCACCTGCATTTCGCTCTACACACACAGAGACCACACACAAGCGCGCCTCGCTATATGGGAACAGACGCATGAACAGCAGCACGTAAGTGCGCAGTGCTTGTCATGATGCGGCGCACGATCACATGGACGCCCTTAGCTGATCGACTGCAGCCTTCAGTAATCGCGATGCTGTCTATCTGTCAGCAGCTACCGTCGCTATCCAGACGGCGCAACCTGATGCTTACGACATCAAGAATCTTCCGACTTGACAGCACCTGATATGCGTCTCATCATCATCTGACGAGAGCTCCTCAACTCTACTGTTGAGCGAGCAGGCGATAGAGGACGTCCGCGCTTCGCAAGATTGTCGGCGTGCGGCGTCTATGAGGACGAGTAAGATGATCAGAAAGATTTCGTCCGTGTGCGACACGTCAGCCGATGCAGATGAACAGCTTCCGTCTGCTCATCGCAGCACGCTTCGGCTCTCCACATCCTCCAACTTATGGTATGTTATCAACTCATCTCAATTATCATACGCGATGATATTAAATAATATCTTGTCTTGTCATAGACATCTTACACGTGTACCAATATACTTTCCTGTTTCCGCTTCTAGTTTATTTCTGTGTAATGCTTACGTTGTAAAGTAAAGAGCATTTAGTAAAGCCGCGAGCAATGGTTGCGGCGTCACCGCCTCTTGAGGGTGTTTCAAGACATTTCTCTGTTTTCCATAATCAGAGCTTAACTTGTGATGAACCACTCATGTCCTCTGTACAATAAAGAAAGAAATAATCTGATAAAATATCTTATTATAAGCTTAATAACTATAACGCGCAAACATTGAGTATTTTTGTCTATTTATAACGCTAAACGTTTGAGGCATTTTTGTCCCTCATTAGAAGCGGCTGAAACATGCCGCACCAGGGCGCGTGCGGATCCCGCCGGCGCGGCTGCGGTGACC